GTACCTGAAAACCAAATCAAGTGCGAAGCTGCAGCCATCGTCATGCACGTGTAAGTCTTCTTCACACCCATGCGTCTTCTTCCATGACATGGGTGTAGCTACGGAGAAGGAAACACTGCAAAAGTCTTTCGAGAGCTACTAAGGAGATCTCACTGACAAATCCCCTTGCTGCTCATCGATCCAATACGCGATGCTGGATACCGTCAGCTATCCATGGACTGATATCTCACTACAACAGAAAGTGTGCAGCTTCGCTTTGTCGGAGCAGCACGGGCAACGTATCGTCCAAGACGATCGCTGACACCATTATCGTCACGCATTCGATGGATGGACTTATGGTGGCTGGGGCATTGGCCAACGATCGATGTAAGCTCGCTCCTAGCACATCGTGGGTTGCTCTGAGTGGTAGGCATTGGCTCCGACTATCTATAAGATACTTGTAGCGGAAGCGCAGGATTCCTCCGGTTGGTGCGTTGCTCATCGGGCAGTGTCCAGCCAATAGCGTCGTCAAGGCCATGACGTACGAAAGTTATCCACGCACCACATCTGTGCATACATTTCGGCCCAGATCGCGTTCAGGAAACATGTCGGCGCCGTAATGTGCAGCGATAACTATGCGGGTCTGTTCTCGAGATGGCAGCCCGTTTATCAGCTAACAGGCTCAATGATTTCACACAAGTCCAAACAAACGACGGTATCGTCGAGTTCAAGAGTTGTGCTGGCGGTGGGTCTGTCCGACTTCAGCAAGAGCTACGTCGATCCATTCTATTTGATGGGCCTCAACCACGTGGGTACACTTTCCACAATGGCGATGGGTTTTTCGCATCTTCTCGAAAACATTTGAAATGGTTTGAATGCCTGTTGTAGTTCTGCGTATTCATAATATGAATATAATACTAGTACCTCGAAGTATGATACCAGGTAGATTTACTAGACGCGTATGTATTTATTAATAAGACTATTCTATCGAGTTGAGGTAGGTCCGATGATACTTAATTCCCAGTACCATTCACTGACTTTTGAGAAATCTGTGTCATAATTACTCCTGACTCGGTAGTCCTAAATATTATAGCGGCAGAGCTGAAATCATCTCTCACACCACTAACTGTATCTTCGAGTAGTTTCTCTACATGTATGAGAAAACCCCCGTTGCTGTTGTATTACCATAGCTCGACCCCTATTGCAACAGCAAAGTTTTGATGTGCCCACGCTCCAGTTTAACACCGAGCAGCAACAAAGTATCCAAGTCAGCAATTGTCGCCATTCGAAATATGTGCAAATTTGGCTCAGATTTTGCATATTACGCAAAATTTGATCCAAATCTGTTTTTAAAACACAAATAACACCATCAATAATTTTTAAAAAGTAGATGATCACCAGCACCAAGGGCTGCTAGATATATTTATAAAAAAAGCGCTAACGCTACTCTTGATATAATACGGTCGTCGCTGTAGTCGTAAGTCCAAGTTTCCTTCCTTGGTACCGACACACTACCGGTATTATGGTTTGATGATTCAGTGTTTAGTATTAATTGCAAATACAACGTCAGTAAAAATAAAATCCTAGCTCCGAATTCCGTTGCTTTTATTCGACCAAAATGGATTTCCTTTCAGTTAATTCTGAGTATACCTCGATGGCTTCCGAGTAATTGACCATGTAATAAAATATAATCTCTTGGCGAAGAAAATGTATCCTAAGCTTGCAGAACGGAAAAGGTTCATCGTACGAAGATTTAAGAACCGTAACCACGGAAGCCCAAGGTTGTCGGACGTGAGTCGTTTGTCTTACTTTATCAAGCATTTTGTTTCATGGAGGCTCGTTTTGAGCGAGATAAAGAGCTTATTTAGATCTTATTTTCGAGCTTCATTTAAACAACATAAAGTATTTTTATTTTCTCGGTTAATCAGGAGCTATTTCCGGC